TAGACGCATTAAGGATTTTCCTATTCAAGGTTCAAAATCATAACTCTTAAGAAACATTAATATTGTCTTGCTTGTATCATGCTTAACTACTTTTTTTTAGCAAACACATCTAAGATCCTTACCACTGAAACTTCCAAGTTATAATTCTAAAACATTTCTTCCAAACAATCAATTCATCCTACTTTAACAAGAAACACTTGTCATGTTCACGAGCCTACCTAAGGGTAATCTGTTGAAATTATTGGAGATTGCTGAGTTAATTAATGAAGTCCTTCTTGAAGATCTTTATGAAGATTGAAGAAGATGTTTTAGTTTTGATGATGTTAGCATTAGTTTTTTATAGCTTTGATAAGTACTTTTCTTTTTTGTATTTTATGGCCTATGCTGAAAAAGATATTGTATTGCTTGTTTATTAGACTTAGGCATGGATGTGTTTGCTTATTACTATTATCTTGATGAATTAATTTCAAAATTACATCTTGTTTTAGATAGCATAAAACTCAATGTTTCTCATTTCATGTGAAAAGATAATGTAAGAGATTACAAAGTGTTTTGACATAAAATAGAACTTGGTTCATTCAAAAGAATTCAAGGTTAAGTCATGTAATAAATTACCATCTGAGGTAATAGATTACTGGAACTTAGTTTTGAAGTGGGATTCAAAGTCCTCTCTGTGATAATCAATTACCTATTGGTGTAGTTGATTACCATAGTGACTTTTGAGTGAAAATAAATTGAAAAAATATCGAGATAATAGATTACCAACATTAGTAATCGATTACCGCTAGTGAAAATTAAGTTTTATGATTCCTGGAACACGTGTTAATTGATTATCAAGATCAATAATCGATTACCACAATTCTTGTTTCAACTGATTTCATTTTCATTAAAAATTGGTAATAGATTACTGTTGTTATAAGTTTTTAATGATGAAATTTTATTTGCTCTATAAATATAACTCTTTTCAAAAACTTAAAAGAAGGATGACATATTTGATTAGGAAGATCAAAGAAAGAAAAAAAAAACATTTTCAAGATCTGAAAATCATTTTTGAGTGAAGATCAAAACAAATTTTCATAACAACTTTTTAAGAGCAAGTCTGAAAAATAAGAAAGATGTTTTCTTGAAAAAGAAATTCAAGAACTTCAAGATTATTGTGTTAATCTTTGTGGCAGATCACTCTACGCATCAGGTGTATCAATTCTGATCTTTAAATGTTATTTTGTACTGTTGGGTATATTACTCTTTGAGATAAGGGAATCTCAAGAAAGAGTTTAAGAGAAATCTTGGGATATGTTTTCTCAAGTGGATTCTTGAGGTGCAAGAATTTTGTTGTTTGTGTAATCTTGTGAGATCAATATTAAGTGATTGAGTTTCTGATTATAATATTGTTTGTAAATGGTGTTTGTAAAGAATATCATGGTAGAAAGATTGGATTTAGCAGGGAGCTAAGTCTGAAACTGAGTGTAGGCCTTTGTATGGTTTAATCAGTATAGATCATTGTGCAAATTAATTCTCTCTTAACCTTCATACCTTGTTCTATTTCAAGTTGAATTGATAAAAAAAAATTTCAAGAAATGAAAGAAACATTTTCTTGAATATTATCAATAGCTAATTTGTGAAATCTGATGATATGATATATGCAATTTGGCAATAATGTGAAAGAAGGTAATTACTAAAATCAATTTGGATTACAAAATCTATTCCGTTGTGTATTAAATCTGATAAATTGTATCTTTGATTAGTATGTAATATGAATGTGATTAGTAAAATTTGTATAAGAAATAAAGAAATAAATAAGAGAGCAAGAAAGACTATTAAAAGCCATCTAAGTGAAGAATATATTCAACCCCCCTTCTAAATTCGTGTTCTACCCGAGACCAACATAATCTACTTAACTTTATACTCATTTACCTTCCTTCATTATCAAGATAACCAAAAGTGACACACAAGGTCTAGTAATTATTTTCTACAAGTTTCTTTATCTAAAGGGTTGTCACTCAAATTACTTATATTCTTAAGTCTCAAAGGAAAAAGGATCATGTGTAATTGATCATATCTTTTAAAGAAGTTTCAACTTGGTTGGCAATCGTAACTTCGCACTCTTACTCTTACCAAAAATAATATTTTATCAAAGTCAATAGGATATGGTTGAAAGATAATCAATAATACTAGGGATTATGTATGATCGACAAAGGGGTAACAAATCAACTCAACAACAGAACTTTAACAAGCACTTGCAAAGGATATTAATTATAAACATGCAACATAATATAAATAAGACCACTAGTTGGACTTGCATCAATAAAGTAATATTTTAAGGAAAGACAAGCAATGGAATTTTGATAAGGAAAAGGTGGCATGAAGGAATGAGTTGCACAAAAATCAAATAGTACAACTAAAGGTGTTTTTTCATGAAACAACTATCTTGGATTAAAACGTCAAACTTAAGAGGTTCAACATCACTTGAACAAGGATTTTCCAATGATCTCCAAAAGATTAACATGCAAGCATTGTCCACAACCATTCACACCCACGCTAAGAACACGAACGATATTACAATCAACCACTATTCTTACATAAGCAAAAAGTATCCAAACAAGCAAACCAACAAAATAGTCAAGGAAAATACATATACCACAACACACAACCAATCACATCAGAGTACACACAAAAACATATGTTGGTTTAAATCAACCAAGCTATGATACCATTTGTAATACCCTCTTAGATTTGACATCTCAACGACTCCACTTCACGACACTTCACATGGTGACACTTCATATAATTCTTCATTGGTCAGAACCTTTCGTTGGTTAAAAATCTCTTTTGGTAATTCTTTTTGAGATGTTTGACCATTTTTAGGATCAATGACTGTCCCCACAAATCAATACAAGATTTTTCAGAGTGCTTTGTCCTCATTCGCACACTTTTTGGGAAAAAATTTTAAAAGGTCACCCATCCCTAAATCACTTCAAGTCAAATACGTTTAACTTTGGAGTTCTTAAGTGATGAGTTACCGAAAAGTAGATGCATCTTATTGGTATAGATAACACTAATCAATTCTTTTAAATTATTCTCAACTATATAATCTCACACATATACAACTTCTAGATCCTTCTCATTTTAGTGTGTGTGGGGTGTTACAAAGATTGCACCTTATTTATTTACCCTAACTTGGATGCCAAAATTGGTTACCTACTCCATACTACTTCCTTCAGTGCTTATTATAAAACATTTTTAACCAAATCACATTGACCAATATAAATAGTTATAATAGTTGATTTTATTGGGTTTATAAAACAAAATCACAGTTTACCAATTTTATTCTTCTTACTTATCATTAAATTTTGATAAGAAAGGTGAAAACATAACCTATATCAAAGCTTATGCACCAATACCAACAAAAAATGATAAGTGTCGATTGGAAAGATTTAAAGAAATGAGAGAGAAAAAAAAAATATAATTACAATCTTTAATAGAGGCAAACAATGAAAAAAATAATTTAATATTTTCTAGAAACTATAAAATGTTTTATGAAAAGGACCAAAAATTTCTTCTAAACTATACTTTATAATAAGGATCAGAAGGAGTATAAATTATTAAATTATTATTAAAAAATTATAAATTAACAATTATAAGTTACATAAATATTGTTATAAATTAAAAATCATAAGTTATCATAAGATAGACACCAAAATAGACAAATTCTTTAGCTCCATATTAATTACTATGTTATCCTAATTATCTTATTTTAGGCTAACATTTAATCTTAGGAAAATCTTAATATAGACTAAGTTAAGTTACCTATATATTATATTAAACAACATAAGAATTAAAAAATTATTAAAAAGGAGTAACAAAATAGTGAGTTAAAAATTATTAAGTTAATTTGGTCAAGTTTAAGTTAAGTCTTATAGTGCAGATATTATATAATGAAATATTATTGTCAATTCATACATAATAATCAAGTGGACTAAAAGAAGTTTTACAATTTTAAAATTCTTATTTTAAGGTCTCAACTTATTACATGTTTTATGCTTAATACTAATTGTTGTTCTAATTTCCATTGAGCACCATTGCCAAGACATGCAAAGTATTAGGGAGCAATGAGCCAAATTTTTTTCTTGAGCATTACTTTGACTAGAACTTATATTTTTCAATCCCACACATGTTTTGTAATTTAGGTTGTATACCATTATTTTTGGCATGTTTACTTAACTTATTATGTTCATAAGTATGTATTGCATGTATTTAAAACTCTTTGATGATATATATGGATGACATTTAGCTTTAACACTTCATTTGTATGTAATTTGATTCATTGAGGAGTAACATAAGAAATGTAAATATTTTGGTCTATTGAAAACTCATTAATTGACAAAATTTGTAAATGAATTATTTGATATAGGTTGATTTGCATGTTTTATTTAGGAATCATCCCAAAATAAACCTACCATAACATACTTATCATTTAAAAAAAATTGTCACTTTTTAAAATCAATTATGTAATAACCAATTTTGATTATGTAATAATTTTAAAAGTCTAACATTTAAAATTAGTTATATGATAAAGGTGGAATGTCACTTAAGTGATGCACTTTTGCAAGGAACGATTACTACACATCATGTGTCATCCCATACTTGACTAATAGATATTTTCACTAAGGCATTAAGAAAGACTCAATTTTATTGTATATCGTTCAAGTTGGACATACGTAGTCCATCCACTCCAACTTAAGAGGGTATTGAGATCTAGCGAGATCTTTTGTTATTATTAGGATTGATTTGGTATCTTTTATAGTTACTATAATTACCCTCTATTATGATATTGTGTGTATCTGTACAAATTTTTTCAGACATAATTAGTGAGTAATTAGCATAGAATGAAACAACTTAATCTTTACATTTTTATATATATTTTCTATTGTTGCAACAAGAAAAAGACAAAAGTTACATTTCAAATTCTTCTTCATATAATGAAATTAACATTTTACAGATGAATACGGCAAACCACAAGAAAATTACTTTTAATTTTATTACTCAACAAATAGAAGAGAACATTTCATTGAGGAAAAATGTGGAAGTGGGAAACATGGATGCCTAGTAGTGTATTAATTCTACAAATAATATTAAACAATCACACAAACAACTTGACAATAAATTTAACTTAATTAATTCAACTTATTTTCCGTGAGCAAACTTAATAGCGCTCAAATCAATCGATTGATGTATTTATCAAGAACATGCTTTACGAGCTTTCTGTATACTCCTTCTGTAGGATGATAACTATCCCAAAAGACATATTCCGAAGCATTAGAACAAGTGGCATCCAAAGGGTTGCATAACACTGCAACCTCCAGATCTCCTGTGCCACAGCAACCCTTATCCATAACTTTATATCCTGCAACATTGAAGAAGTGAAAATTTGTTAAAAGAGATTCAAGAATTTTATTGGAGAAATGGAATAAATGCTCACGGATGAATGAAACTAAGGATTTGTTTTGTTAAAAAAAAAAAAAAGAAAAACTCTAGAAACACTTCTAAACGAGTAAAATAGAAAAGAAAACAAAATGGTTTTTTTTCATAAATTGATTTGTAAAAATCTTCTTTTATTAACTTCTCCAAAATCATACTTTTAATTTATATATAAATTAGTTTTAACTTATAAAAAAAATTGACTTTTTTTTTAGAAGTGCTTCTAAATTTTTTTTATCTAAGCATACTTGAAGAAAACTTAAAATTACCATAATTTTGGTAGTTTTCAATGATATCAAGTAGAGGGTTGTAAACATCAATGTAAACAATCCTGCTATTGGGTGAGTTATGAGCAAGGGAATCCAAATGCTTCAACAGTTTGGAATTGAACAACTTTGCTGCGTTATTGTACTTTTCGGAACACTTTCTTGTTAGCCCTCCGGCTAGGGTTCTCTGTGATGGCACGCATCCAATCGGTGGTGCACTGAGTACTGCCAGTCTACGAGCTCCCAGATTATATAGTTCCTACACATATTGTTGGCCGGAAAAAGAAAAATTCGTATGGTGAGGTATTCTTGATTTTACATGCACAAAAAAATTGTATTATATTTATATATTGTAATGATTAATCGTATGAGTTTGATAGTTATTGAATTAAGTGTAAAAACTTTTACACTATCATCTAATATGGCCTTCGGTACAACTTTTAAAAAAATGAAGTTATATGCACTGACATTGTCAATCATCTAATCTTAAACCACATTAACATTAAATACCTTTATAAACTCAAACTCTTAAAGTAACTATCATAAAAATCCACAAATTTATCATATATGATAGTTATTATAATTATATTATGATTATATAATAGTGTAAAATTACTTGTTGATATATAATCTATTTTCTCTAATTTTTTTTTTGGAGGTTCAATACCTTTGATCCAATTACCTATACTTGGATTAACAAAAACCTTAAGCATACCTTCACAAAATCAGTAGCGGAGTTCACCATTAGATCAGTGTAAGAAGGAATATCATACTGCAATATTCTGGCATGAGCAACAAAATAGGTGTTAGCAATGTCGTCACTGCCTCCCACCACAAGGTAAAGACTGTTGGCTAGAATGAAGTTTGTTCTTTTCTCTCCAACCATGCCTTTCACCTTCGCTATGTACTCTTTGAACATGTCTATTTGAGCTGATAATGGTATCACTGACTGATTACATGTTACAAACAAATTAAGAAACAATGGTGAAAAGCAATAATTATGTATATACAATTTAGTTTCCATCTTCATTTACATGTAAATTTATAGGGTTTGTTATTTTTTCAAAACTGAAGAGACGTCGAAATTGCGAAAATAAGAATATTCTTTTTCAAATAAAAAATCTTGTAGACATATAATTCAATTTAAATCGATGTATACACTCTTACCTTAAGAAAATTTACGCTGTCATCAAATTATATTGAAAAATCATAAGAGAAATTTGGAGTGGATTGTTATTAATTCTAATCATCAAGACTGAAAAATAATAGAGCTGAAATTTATTTATATTTACCGCAATTTGTGGTGTCAAAGGATCGTATCCTGAAGCACCGGAAGCAAAGCATACGCCGGTAAGAAGATCACTAGATTTGAGATTTGGATCCAAATAAGCTGGCAAATACTCCTTAACACCCAATTCTTCAGCTATAAATCAAGGAATTTGCAATGAGAAACTATGTTTTAGGTATCAAAACTATTTTATAAAAGATTGATAACAACCGTAATTGCATGAAGAATGTAATTAACTGTATATTGTGTTTGTATGGCACATTTAGTGAGAGGACCAACTTTATATATATATATATATGAAAAGAATGATTCACTTATTCTTCTTAATAATTTGTATTTTAATTGGATTTTAACAATTCAATCTTCAAATTAAAATATCTTAATACATAAATCAAATTTGTATGTTTTTAAAAGATTTGAAAACTATTTGATATTTTATTTTATTAATTCAAGTTAATGGATAATTATATATATATATATATATATATATATGAGGAGGATTACAATAATACCGGTATAACTTTTACTAAATATTACACTACTCAATAATTTTATATTAAATATGAATTTTGTAAATTTAACCATTAGATTGAAAGCGCATATCACTTTATATGTTTATAACAAACTTTGTTAAAATTGAACAACAACTTGAAGGTAATCAAAGTGTTCATATTTTAGTATATTTTAAAATATATATTACATCAATTTTGTTTTATAAGAATGAAGTATCAAATTATTTTAGATTAATATAAATTTTTTTTTATATGATTTAAGAGTAATTCACATTTAATATAAAGTTATTGAGTAATGTAATATTTAGTAAAAGTTACACTGGTATTATTATAACCCTCCTCCCCTCTCTCTATATATATATAGAGAGAGAGATTTGTTTACTCTAGAAGTAAGTCTACAAAATTTGCAGATTTGATCTATGCATTGATAATTTTAAATTCAACAGTTGGATCGTTAAAATTTGATGTAAAGTAAGAGTTATTAAATGGATCTCTCCTTATATATATATATATATATATATATATATTATATATATATATATATGGATGGTTTGTTTACACCCACTTCTTTTATTAGAATCAATAAGTTAGCAATGTACAACCAAGTGTATTTAGAAATGTAATTATAATTTGTTAATTTACTTCTAATGAAAAACAAGTGGGTAATAAGAAGATGTAATTATTTTCCACGAGATACTCAAAGTTGTGTTGAAATTCTTTTCCTATTATTTTTTCATTAACTTGCTTAAAATTCAAACCCCACTTAAGATTGGAAATTTCATTATGTTGCTTAAAATTTTCTCAACTAATTCATTTCACAACACAACACGCTAACCCTAGGATTTTCTAGGTGCAACCCAAACCTAAATGCGATTGACCTTCCATTTCTCATGTACAGTATTGTAATCACTTTAAAAATAATACTTAATTTTGACTTATTTTTTTTATTTTTAAAATAATAATAAGAACAACATATACTGCCAACGATTCCATTGTTCCTGGACGTACAATCACATGTTCATGGCTGGGAAGTACCGATAACAATAATAAGATGAGATATGTGTCGAGATCCAAGTGAACAACTTGGAAGTGATTGTCCGTCATGTCTACCACCAACCCTAGCTGATGCCATAATCTTGGAACAGCTCCAATTTATAAATATTTACTCACTTTTTCTTTGTTTTATAGTTTTTAATTATAAATATGCATCTCATTCTCTAATAATGACTCACTTTTATCTCTCTCTTTTTTTTTTTACGTTAGTTTTTTACATTGTATAACACATTTATTACTTTTTCGTAATTATTTTTTTTCTTCTCCCATAGAGTAGGCATTTATAAACTTCTTATTTTATTTCTACCTCATTTTTCTTTTCTCTTTTTACTATCATATCATTTAATATTACACGAATTCTTTTCTTCTTCTTCTTCTTTTTTTTCCCTTCTATTGTTTTCTTATTTCCACCTCAATTCACCCGGTTTTGAGAACGACAAATATAACTACTGCAAATGAAACACATTAGTCGAGTCACCGTGAGTCTTTACTAATAAAATATGGCTTATCAATTCTCACTAATAAATTTAGTTTATAAAGATGTTATTACTTTAGTTTTAAAAATGTCTCATCGATCAGAAAATTTACTTTTAAGTCTAAATATGCGACAAAAGTATATAGTAGTAATCTTTAACTATTTTGATTTCATCTTTTTTTTTTTAGTATGAATTATAATGATGAGAACAAAAATTTAAACCTAAAAGTTTGTGTATATTATTCTAATTCCACCGTACAGTAGTATTTTCTAGCTATTTTGATTTGAGTTACACCATGTAATAAGCATTTCTTTTTTATGACAGTGCTGATATCCCATTTAAATTTCAGATTTAGTTCTTCCCTCCATTAAAACTTTGCTTCATGTCATTGAAAAAAGCTAGGAATGCAAGACAGTAGTGCAGAGGAAAGAGAGTTACCTAGTATGTCTGAAGGAACTTTTCCATTGCAAAATCGACCCGTTGGGTTTCCTCCCTGAAAATCTTTGCCATAAGGTGGGAAGTTGCACTTGACCAATGTTTTCAAGTCGTTGTTGTTGCCTGTGTCCGCGATCGAATCTCCAAACGCAAACAGTGCTGGAACTGAAACGTTTGGTGGCAGCTTCACCACACCCTCCGTTCTGTGCCATAAACCGAATATTAGTGTCAAACTGAGCAATAAAGGAGCAGAAGAGGCAGTGAGGTGCATAAAAGCCATATCGGTTGGTTGTTTCTAACACTATCACTTCTTCAATATGGTGTCTCTCTTAGGGAGGGTGATATTATATAAAGGATCGTCGTAACCATGCATTTACAGCAAGGATTATAACCACGTGCAAATAACTGCATGGGATTGTTTTTCAAAAAAAAAACTACTTTTTAAAATCTCTCAAAAAAAATCAAAATAAGCATTTTTTTTCTTAAAAGAAACTAATAATGTGTATAGTTACATGGTAGAGTATTTATTAATAAGTCATTAGTTTGAGTGAAATTAAACTTAATTCTTTTAAATAAGGTTTCATATTTTAGTATTATTTGTACTTTTTGGGAAAAATATAGTTGAGAAAAGTAACTATATCAAAAATTGGCAATTAAGTTCTTCGATAGAAATTATTAATTGATAAAGTCGATAAATACCTCACAATAATAATATAAATATAAATAAAAGTAATTAAAAATTTTCTTATTGATTATCAATAAAGATAGCCACTTCGCACTAATAATTTGGTGGTAAAAAAAATAGTGAGTTATTATACTTCGTTTATTAAATTTTTTTTAAAAACGTAGAAGATTTATATCCATATATATAAAGATATATACTCGTACTAGAACTTTCGGTGAAAAAAAATAAAATAAAATAAATAATTGCACCTACGATAAATGTTTATTTATATTATTATTTATAGTAACTAAATACTTAAAAATATTTGAGTTATATTATATATTATAATTAATATTTGTAATAAATATTTTTAAAATTATAAATTAAATTTTAGATTTATAATAAATAATTTATTTATTTTTTAATGAAAGGTACATTTAAGTGTGATCATTTTTAAATATTAAATTTTAATTTAAAACTAAAAATAAAAAAGATAAATTTAAAAAAAATAAGAAGTTGAAAAAAGTCAGATACATTCTCAATAAAATAAATTAACTAAAACGTTCTCATTAAAAATAGTCCTTAAAATACTCTGATTTTAGTGTAGTTGTTTTAGTTTATATATAAGATCGG